AACAAAATGATCTGCTACTGCAGCAAGCTTACTGCCAAACAGGATGCAGGGTTTTTGGGGGCTTTGTCCAAGCACAGGTACAAACTGGTGTTAAGGCTCAAGATGGAGTTGGGTTGGCCAGTTTCAGGTAGCTTTATTGCTAGTGTTTAGAACCCTTAGGAAATGACTAATTCTCAGAGATATCTTCTGAGAATAGCTGGCTTTTGGATGTTGGGTCTTTTGAAAGACCCTACCTCTTCAATTTACTGGAGAGGAGAAGTTACTGCCTATTTGGCCTAGCCCCTGGTTCTTTGGCACTGGCCTGTAATATTGGTTATGACCTTTAAATAGTGTCAGTCTTGGCATACCAAGAAGAACAAGTGGTTAGTACAATTATGTTACATTGGCTAAAGTACTACATTGAGCAGTGACAGTGGCATCAAACAGACTAGAGAATGGCAAACTGTGGTAACTTAATTTGCCACTTTTAACCACATGAACTAAATTTGTGGTTATATAACAAAATCTAAAACAAACCAGAAAACTGTATACAATAAATATGCCCTTTATATGACAATTTTGCCCTCAGGAGAAAATTTAAAGAGGGTTGGGGGTGAATAAAAGAAAAACAATAGAAAGGGATTAGAAGCAAAGCTGGAAGATGAATTAAAATTACTAGAACTTTGGGAAACTGGTGAAGAAGACAGAAGAAGAAAACTAAAAACACAACAGAACAACAACAATAAAAATAGAAATAATGTTTGCACTCATGAACAAGAACAAACAAGAAAAAATTGAAAGCAAACAAACAAAAATAACCACTTAAGGGGATATCTCTGCTGTCACTTGGATAGACTAGACAGATAGAGACCATATCCAAGTTGATACCAGCAAGCAAGCCCTAGCTTTACAGTGGGATAGTGGATAATCCTAGCAAGCCTGCAGCTTTTTAGTTCCCCAGAAATTCAGGTTGGTTTCTGATTGTGAGGCTGAAACTGGATGGGTTGAATCTGCAATACTGTGTGTGTGTCTCTTGCTGATTTGAACTCAGTTCCACCTCACCCTGACACGAGCCACCAAATGGAGCCAACACACAGCTGCTCTGAATTCTGAGCTCAGCCCCACTCCAAGTTGGCTACCAGTCAGTTGCCCTCGTCTGGGCAATATCTGAACCTGAATAACTCAATAAACACTGCAGTTCCGCTGCATCCACTGTTTCATTCCACTGGTGCAGTCAGTGTGTGTCTGGGGTTGCCTGAAGTCACCATGCTTCTGCAGATTCAGTGTGCCTCTTCCTCAAAGTGAGTCAGAGCTCAGGGAGAAAGTGCCCTCGTCACCTCCTCCTTCTGTGTTGAAGTCTCTCATCATCTCCCTGTGGGCTTCAGTTCTCATTTCACATCCTTGCCAGGGACCCACTTTTCCTCTCCTCTTCCACACATTGCTTTATTTCAGTGTCTGGCTAACAAATCTTAGAAAGGCAATTTATTTCTGTGCTATTCACTCCAGCATCTTACTGGAAGTCCAAGATTTTTGTTTTTGTTTTTGTTTTGGTACTTGGGATCGAACTTGGGTCCTTGTGCTTGCGAGGCAGGTGGCAGAACCACTGAGCTAAATCCCCAGCCCTCTGAGTTTCTATTTTTAAAACTAAAATGTATAGTGTACTTTGTTTTGTTTAACTTTTTGAGTTTTTATTATTTCTGCTTTATTAAAGTTAACCTGAAATATGAATTCATATGAAAACATCTGAGAAAGATACAGTATCCCTTAATTCGTTTTTTTTTTTTTAATTCAGAAAAGTGTCAAACCTCAAAGTTTAAAAAATGATGTTGCAGACGGGTGTGGTGGCACACACCTGTAACTCCAGCACTTGGGAGGCTGAGGCAGGAGGATCACTGTGAGTTCAAGACCAGTCTGGGCTACATAGTGAGTTCCAAGTCAGTCTAAACTACAGAGTGAGACCCTGTCTCAAAAAAAAAATTTTTTTTTAAATGATGTTGCTACTTTTTCTGATTTGTTTGAAAGTTTTAGACATAATTTCACTTTACCAGTGACCATTTCAACATGTATCTCCTAAGAATAAGGAGCAGCCCAGGATCTGTTAACTCTGAGCAGGATTTCTAATTTAGGCCATGACAGGGTTTCTGTGCTCATACACTGAAGCCTTATCCTTTTCCAGTGCCCAGGCAGGCAACATGGCTTTTAAGAAGTATATACCCAGATGGTAGTAGAGCAGTTGCCTAACATGAGTGAGACCCTGGGTTCAGTCCCTGCAGCACTGTTAAAAAAAGAAAGAAAGAAAAAGTATACCAAACTGGCAGACTGGCTATGGTGGTGCATACCGGTAACCTCAGCTACTCAGAAGGCCGTGCCAAAAGAATGGCAAATTGGGCAATTTAGCAAGGTTCTGTCTCAAAAAACCAAAAAGAGGTAGTTCAGTGGTAGGGCGCTCTGAGTTCAATCCTCAGTACCAAGGTGTGGAACAAGTACATACCCAAATACAAAAGTGATGAAACAATTTGTCTTCTTAGTTTAGTGCAGTGTGGTTTTTCATCCAGATTAAAATAAAATTACATCTGTTTTTCTCAAAAAATTCTACATGTGGTATAGAATTGAATAAAGACATTTTCAGATACTAGCACAATACTGTTCTCACACTCGAGATTATACAATAAGATGAATATGTGGTCAGTATTTCAAATTTCCCCAATTATCCCAGTAATATCTTTTTTTTAAAAAGTCCCCTGATTTAGATTCAATCAGGGATTGTTCATTGCATTTAATTTAATCTTGTTTGAACCCAAAACACTTCCCTTGTTTTTGTTGGCATTTTTCAATGTTGGCATTCTTGGCATTTTCAGGCTAGTTGTTTCTAGAATGTCCCATGATCCTAATTCTATCATTATTAGATTTAGGTTAAACTTTCACTAAAAGCATTTCTTAGATAATGGTTTGTCCTTATCATCACTCATATCAGGGGACAACTAACTTAAGATATACACATTATTGGTGATGTTAAGTTTAATCATTTCGTTTATGATATCTCTTAGATCTCTCCATTATAAAGGTATCCCTTTTCCTAACAAATAAATTATGGGGTGATTCTTTGAAACAGTATCCTGTATTTCAGAAGTATTCCTTCAGTGATTTTGACATTCATTGGTTATTTGCTCATTTATTTCATTGGTGGTTAAAAACCTTTTCCCTTCCCAATTTTATTTCATCTAAACCCATTAGTTGATATTCTTCTATAAAGAAGTGCTGTGATCCATCTCCCTGCTTTCTGCCTGCCCTGCTTTTCCTCAGTATACATATTGTTGAACACCATTGCCAGATTAAGAAATTAAAAAAAAATTTTTTTTGAAGTGCTGTGGGGATATACTTCACTCCAAAGGCCCCATGCTCAATTTCCAGAACCAATCTTCACAAAACCAAAACCAGAACTTCCTAATGCGCCTTATTGATAGGACTTCCTTCCCTAAGGTACCCATTATACTGATCTAACACTCTGGATTAATTTTGCCTGTACTCTTTTTGCATTTAGTTCCTTTGTTCAGCAGTGTATTTGTGAGGCTCATCTGTGATATTACATGTGGCAGTGGTGTAGTTTTCATTGCTGTACAGAAATTTTATTCAACTATACCATGACTGTTTATCCAATTTATTATGGATGAGTACAGTATTTGGATTTTTTTTCCTTGTTTGTTTGGGACTATATGTGCTATTATGAAGAATATTGTTATACATGTCTTGGTGAATATGTGTGTATATTTCTTCTGGGCATGTAGATGTAAGAATGGTAATTTCTGGGATTATAAATACTGATCAGACAGTTTACAGAAATAGTTGTGATGATTTATAATCCTCCCTAGCAATTAAGATATTTTAGGATCATATTTTTTTTCCTATAGTGTGTTGTAATCCATTGTTCTTACTTTTTTTGACGTAGAGATTGTCCCAAATTTGGCCAGTGAAATCCCATTCATATTGGGTTTTTGACACGTCCCTTTCATATATTTTGATGTATCCTTTTCATTTTGTTGAGTATTCCTTTGATGGTTGGCACAAGTCATATAGCTGAAGGTTTTTTTGTTTTTGGTTTTTGTTTTGTTTTTCCACCCAGGATTGAACTGAGGACCTTGTGAATGCGAGGCAGCCTCTGTGCTGCTCAGCTAAATCCCTGGCCCTTAGCTGAGTTTTTAACTAAGGCACATACCTACATAATCCAAAATCTTTGAAAGCAAATACAGTTAATTTTTTTCTTTTTTTGGTTCCAGGGATTGAACTCAGGTCTTTCTGCTTGCAAGTCTTGTAGCAGAACCACTGAGCTAAATCCCCGGCCCTACATTTAATTTTTTTAAAATATGGACATAATTCACATCATAAAATTCAAATTTGTATTCATTGTTGTTATATTTTCAAGGTTGTACAACCATCACTGTTCTCTAATCTCGGTATTAAAGTGTTTTGCTTTTAGTCCGACCAATTTTGTGCCATGTTCTTACATATTAAGAGGTTAGAATGTGTACTAGTCATTGACATATATTTGTTTGAAAATGTATTTGTGGGTTTTTTTGTTTTGTTTTGTTTTGTTTTTTGGTACCAGGGATTGAACTCGGTTCCTTGCGTGTATTTGTGTATTTTTTAAAAAATTACACACACACACACACAAATTACACACAAAAGGGGCTCTACTAGTAAGCAGGAAATAAGTTGCTTAGAGTGGGAGGTAGGCTTCTGATGGGTTCCAAATCTACTCATATTTTTGTAGTTAGGGACCAAGCAGATAAAATTGTTATTATATGGCTTTTCTTTTTAGGTTTTCTATTTCTGGTTCAATTGTTTTAGCTAAACACTTGTAAGTCTCTTAAATATGTTTTCATTTAAAATGATACGCCTCAGGGGCCAGGGATTTGGCTCAGTGGCACTGCGCCTGCCTCACAAGTGCAAGGTCATCCTGAGTTTGATCCCTGGTAACAACAACAACAAAAAATGATATGCCTCAGTATATTTTTTTTAAACAGACTGACAAAAAAACTTGAAGAAAGGAGAGAAGAGAAAAGGAAAGAAGAAGAACAGGTAAAGTTCATGCATGTAACATTTTTATCTCCCTCTTAAGTAGGGAACTTTTTATTGTTTTGTTCAGTTTGACTGACTTGCAATGACTTCCTAGTTTGATAAAGTAGTAATATTGTAGTAAAGGGAATTACTTATTTTCTACACTCGGATCATAGTTTATACTTTGTTTTTTGGGGTTTTTTAAAGTCAAATTGACAAATATTTTTTCAGTAATGAGTCTTTTACATTAAGTATAAAAAGGACTTGAACTAAAATTATTTGATTTGAGACAAAAGATCAAGCTTATTAATTCCCTTTAGTGACAAAGAAATCTGTAATTATTCTCAAACTGAGTATGGTGGCACATGCCTGTAATCCCATCATTCCAGAGATTGAGGCAGGAGGAATGCTATGAGTTCCAGGCCCCCCTGGATTAAGTAGCCAGTTCAGGACCAGCCTGAACTACTACGTAGTGTGACCATTCCTCCGAAATTAAAAAGACATGTAGATATTCTGCTAAATTTTTCTGGTCGTGTTGCTGCGTTCTAGTGCACCCTTCATTTTTCTCACTGAATATACCTCACTGCATCATTTCCTTGGAGCTCTAATATACATAGGTTATTATTTCTTTCAAGTCCTATCCCAGGAGGGTAGCATATTTGTCCTAGAAAAAAGACCTATAATTCTGCTTGTCTTCAGATTAGTTGGTTGTTGTAGTCTGAAAACATTTTAAAAGATGGATAGACATTGTCCATTAATTATGCTGTGAAGTTTTTTGAAGTTCTAATGTTTTAACTGCACCCTATAGCCAGCTTTCTGTACATTCAAAAAATACCAGAGGCAGATTATCAGCTTTTGTTTTCGGTTCATAAAACTTATTTTCTCTTTGATTCAGAGAGAAATTAAGAAGGAAATTGAAAGGAGAAAAACTGGAAAAGAAATGTTGGACTATAAAAGAAAACAAGAAGAAGAATTAACAAAAAGAATGTTGGAAGAAAGAAACAGAGAAAAGGCAGAAGATAGGGCAGCTCGAGAACGGATAAAACAGCAAATTGCATTGGTAAACTTTTGTTTTTTGACTCCATGACATTTGTGAAATTTTTTTTTCCCATGCACAGTGGCTTTGGGTTAAAACCAGAGAGTGCACACAAAACTAGGTCTTAGTGACTCACAGTACCAATCCTGAGTTTGCCTTTATTAGAAATTATATATTGAGTTAAAATAGTAAAGAATAAAATGAGAAGATTTTTCCTGAGTTATTTTTCTCCATGTTTTGTTATGAATTTGTCAGTAAAGACAGCTTTTCAAGATTGCCTAGAAACAAGCTAAGAATTGATTATGTGATTATATAGCCATTTCTAGTCAAAAACATTGGGGGAGCATTCATAGAATTTAGGCATATCACATAGCTTCAGATGGTTTTGTAACAATTGCTCTTATTTATTTAATTTTTTTGGTACAAGGGATTGAACTCAGGACCTTACTCTTGAGAAGCAGGTGGCAGAACCACTGAGCTAAATCCCTGGCCAGCAGCTGCTTTTATTTTTTTTAATTTGTTTATTTTTTCCTCATTGAGTTTATTGGTACATTTTAGGGATACAGTACAGTTACATTCATTATTGGGATCTTGTACCTTTACATGACAGGTCTTGGTTCTCATTTTTTCCCCTTGTCCCTGCCCTCCCTTCACCCCCTCCTCTCCTCCCCATTTACAGACACTTTATTTCCATTTTCTCATATTTTTTTGTTTTCCCTTATTACCTTTCCCTTACCCTTCCCACTTCCCCTACATCTCTAGCCCTTTTCTTCCTATTTCACACTGTTAATTATCCCATTAGGATCTTATGTGCTATTACAGTTTTTCACACCAGAGAAACTATTCAGTATTTACACATGTGTGACTTATTTATTTCACTGAGGAGTATATCCTCAATATGTATCCATTTTCCTATGAATGAATCTAATTTCTCGTTCTTTATGGCGGAGTAGTATTCCATTTTATAGAAAAACACATCTTCTTTATCCAGTTTCCAATGGATGGGCAAATGGGCTGTTTCCAAGTTTTAGCTATTACAAACTGTGCCGCTATAAACATAGGTGCGCATATATCACTGTGAGCAATTGCTTTTAGAATACAGCACTTGAAATATATATATAAAGTCTACACCTACCATAAAATTGATTATTATTTGATCGTTCAACAAATTTTTTTTTTTTTTTTTTGGTACTGGGGATCGAACTCGGGTCTTTGCACTTGCAAGGCAGGCAGCAGAACCACTGAGCTAAAACCCTGGTCCCCATCAACAAATATTTGTTGAGCATCTACTGTGTGCTAGACCTTGTCCCAGGCCCTAGAGATACAGTAGTGAATGAATTTATTTCCTTGTTTTTCTAATAATAACTGTGGTTCCTGACACAGTTGATTAAAATTAATATCAGATCAAGGATGACTAAAGTTAACATGGCTTGAAGGGATTTCTGGTGTTGAAAGTGTATGAATAGATCATTCTGCAGTGAAATAATAATACTGTCTAATATTTTAATAAAAGGATCGTGCAGAGAGAGCGGCTCGTTTTGCAAAGACAAAGGAAGAAGTAGAGGCTGCTAAAGCTGCTGCCTTGCTGGCCAAACAGGCAGAAACGGAAGGCAAGAGGGAATCATATGCACGAGAAAGAAGGTACTGATGTATTTTATACTGCAACATCTATATGCAAATGGGGTCTGGTTGATATTTAGCTATATTGTGATATCAGACACAACAGTATTACTTTGGTAATCAGAAAGATGACTTTTTTTTTTGTTTTTGGTACCAGGGATTGAACTCGGGCCTTATACTTGCCAGGCAGAAAGATTACTTTTAAAAACAGTATAGGGCCATGGATTTAGCTCAAGTGGTGCTGCTGCCTGCCTCACAAGCACAAGGTCCTGAATTCAATCTCCAGTACCAAAAAATAATAAAAACAGTATTTTGAGCCAGGTGTGGGTGGTGCATGCCTATAATCCTAGCACTCTGGGAGGCTAAGGCAGCAGGATTGCCTTGAGTTTGAAGCCATCTGGACCAATTTAGAGATTTAGCAAGACCCTGTCTCAAAATTTTAAAAGGGTAGGAAATGTAGCTAATACAAAAGTGCTGTGTTCATTCCCCAGTACCAGGAAAAAAATTTTTTTTCCCAGTGGAGCTTGATGTTGCACTCATTTTTTGATTTTTTTGTTTTTCTTTTTGTAACAGGAATCAAACTCAGGACGCTGTGCTTGCAAGGCAGGTGGTGGCACCACTGAGCTAAACCCTTGGCCCTATGCACTCCTATAATTAATCCCATCTTCTGAAGAGGCTAAAGCTAGAGGATTGACATTTCTAGGCCAGCCTTCACCTAGCAAGACCCTGTCTCCAAAAAAAAAAAAAAAATTTGCCAGGCATGGTTGCACAGGTCTATAATCCCAGCATTCGTGAGGCTGAGGCAGGAGGTTCACTGTGAGTTCAAGACCAGCCTGGGCTACATAGTGAGTTCCAGGTCAGTCTCAACTACATAGTGAGACCTTGTCTCAGAAAACCAAGGAAAAAAAAAAGGACCATATATAGATAGATAGTAAATTTTTTTTTGTTTTTTTGAAGACACAAAACTTAATAGAAATTTTGTTTGTTGTTCTTACATTCTCAGTGTGAGAGATAATACATTTTTAAAAAGAGGAAAAGGTGGTGGTGCTGAAGCTGTAGCTTAGTGGCAGAGTGCTTGCCTAGCAATCTCTTCAGCTTGGTCCCATAAATAATGGTCTTTCTACAAAGCAATAATGACAAAGACATTGTCTTGCTTCCCTAAGGATGGACATAGCAGTCACTGTAGTAGAGTTGAGTTTCTAGAAATTGCATTTATGATTATTTCTGAAAAGAATACCAAAAACATTCAGTGGGGAGAATAATGTTTTCAAGTCTTATGCTTGAACAACTGGTTATCGAAATGCAATAAAATGCATTTGTACTTTTATCTCTCACCATATAAAATGTCCATTCAAAATGGGTCATCTACCTAAATGTAAAGCTATGTAAAATATAAATTTTGGGAGGGGGTAATAAATTTTTGTGATCTTGGAGTAGGCAGTGGATTCTTAGACATAGTGCCAAAGGCATATGCAGTAAATGAAAAAGATTAGACTTCATAAAAATTTTAAATAGTTTTGTTTTACAAACTGAAAAGATAATACATAAAATTGGAGAAATTTGCAAACTGTACTTAATAAAGGACTTGTATCCAGAATGTGAAAACTCATAACTCAACAATAAAATGACAACCCTTTTCTAATATGGAAAAAGGATTTAAATAGGCATTTTTCCAGAGAAGAAATACAAATGGCCAATACACATGTGAAAAGATGCTCCGTGTCATTAGTCATTAGGGAGCACAAAACTACAATAAGGGACTAGAGGTGCAGCCTAGAGTTAGAACACTTGCCTAGCCTACCCAAGGCCCTAGTTTGATCCCTTACACAGCAAGAAGCAAAAACAAAAGCATACATACCCCACAATAAGATAATATTACACTTCCATCAAAATGCCTAAACTTGCTGGGTGTGGTGGCACATGCTTGTAATCCTAGCACTGAGAGGCTGGGCTAGAAGATTGCTGTGAGTTGGAGGCTAGCCTGAGGTACATAGTGAGTTCAAGGACTACATAGCAAGACCCTATCTCAAAAAATGAAAAAAGAATGCCTAAACTTAAATAATAACAAGTGTTGGTGAGGATGTAGAGCGAATTTGGAACTTTCCTATATTAACATTGGGATTATGCCAGGCATGGTGGTGCACACCTATAACCCAGCACTCAGGAGGCTGAGGCAGGAGGATTGCTGCGAGTTCGAGACTAGCCTGGGCTACATAGTGAGTTCCACAGCAGTCTGAGCTACATAGTGAGACCCTGTCTCAAAAACCCCCCCCCAAAAATTGGAATTATAAAATGGTTAAAAAGGTATATCTGGCAGTTCCTCAAAATATTAGATGTACCATATCTCTGTAAAAGCAAATTTTTTTTTTTTTTTTTTTTTTTTTTTTTTTTTTTTTCTTGTACCGGGGATCAAATTCAGGACCTTACACTTGGGAGGCAGGTGGTGGAACCACTGAACTAAATCTCCAGCCCTGTAGCAATCACTCTTAAGTATATACCCAAGAGAATTGAAAACATATTCACACCAAAACCTGTGCACATGAATATTCTTAGCATTATTCATAATTTCCACATTAAAAATGTGGCAGTAACATAAATGGCCATGAAATGAATAATGGATAACAAAATCTAATATACAACTGTAATACTCAGCAGTAAAGGGAAATAAAGAACTAATACATGTGTAAATGAACTTTGAAAACAGTGCTACATAAAACAAACCAGGTACCAAAGATCATATATTGTATGATTCTTTTATGTGAAATGTCCAAAAGAGGCAAATCCATGCAGATAATAGATTAATGGTTACCAGAGATTAGGGAAGAAGAATAGTGATTACTAATGGGTTCCTTTTTGAGATGATAAAATATTCTGGAAATAGTGGTAAAGGTTATTCAACTTTAATTTTCTTTTTTTATAGCACTGTTGCAAGAATTCAATTCCGTCTGCCTGATGGTTCTTCCTTTACAAATCAATTTCCTTCTGATGCTCCTCTAGAAGAAGCAAGGCAGTTTGCCATACAGGTGAATTTATGTCTTGAGTTATAGTAAAAATGGCTATATGAGTTATTAAAATGTAGAAGGGGAAAATTTAAAGCAGAACCTGATGAACATGAGTAAATCATGAATTTACCTTTGAAATGTGGTACTACTGAAAATCTGTATGGACTATTACTGTTTTGTTTGTTTGTTTGTGTTTTGGTACTGGGGATCAAACTTGGGACCTCGCACTTGTGAGGCAGCTGGCAGAAATACTGAGCTAACTCCCTGGCGGGATATTACATTTTATATCTTAGAAAATAAGATATGAGTAGTTTCCAGGTTTTTTTTTTTTTTTTTTTTAATTGTCTGGTTCCTTACTTCACATACATTCTGGGCATAAAATGTCTTTTAGGATCCAGGTTTATTATATATGCTAATATTTTTCTCAATATGTTCCTTTATATGACTACAAGGTTAAAACTAGGTTCATGTCTTTCCACCAGCCCTCTTTTCCCCATTTAGTATTTTCTATCACTTACTGGCCCCAAGAGGATACTGTAAAATCTGTGATCCTGCCCTCTTGAGCAGGGTTGGACAGTATGAAAACTTAATATGAAAATTCTTGTACCATAAACTGTATAGTAAAACCAACTCCAAATAGGCATGTCTGTCTGTCTGCTGTCTTTTTTTGGCGGGGGGGCACTGGGGATTGACATCAGGACCTTGCACTTGCAAGGCAGGCAGCAGAACCACTGAGCTAAATCCCCGGCATGTCATTCTTTCTTTGTCTTGGAGCCTACCACATAGTGTCTCCTACCCTGAGTTATACTGCTTCTACTGAGAAAAAGAGATTGTGTCCTATTAAAACTCTGCTCCAATACAATGACTGTATTTTATTTTATTTATATATGTATTATTTTTGTACTGGGAATTGAACTTGGGACCTTGCACTTGCAAGGCAGGCTCGGTGCCACTGAGGTAAATCTCCAGCCCAGTGACTGTATTTTATATTCTTGTATGTCCTTATGTTAAAGTAGAGAACAGTGAGGGTTGTCTGCGATGTACAGTTAAAAATTAGTCTTTTTTGGACTCTTCTAGGGAAAAATAAGCATTTGTTTTAAGATTTTGACAAGTGTAGTGATTTAATGTTGTGAAGGTGATTGGGTGTACCCCGGTGTAAGTTCCTGGATCTGCGATTATGGTATAAGTTGATTATGGACGTTGATACAAGGAAGCAGCCAAAATTCTTGAAGTTATTCACAGGTATACCTCAGAGATATTACAGGGTTCCACACCACTGCAATCAAGCTAGTCATACAAATTTTTTAGTTTGCTAGTGAATATAAAGTTATTTTTATGCTATATTGTAGTCTTGTGAAATATGCAGGCATGTTATATCTTTTTTAAAAAGTACATATGTAAAAAAACGAAAGTAACAGGCATAAGCACACATTATCAAATGGTGACATCAGACTTACTCAATTCAGGATTGCCAAACTTTCAGTTTATTTAAAAAAAAAAAAAGTCTGTGCAAAGCACATTATAACAAACTGCAATAAAATGAGACACACCTGTGCATAAGGGAGATACTGGTATTTCCAGATTTTTAATAGGACATATCAGTAGTCCATAATGTAGCTGGGTGTGGTGGCATCCTGTAATCTCAGCAGTTGAGAGGCTGAGGTGGGAAGATTGCCACAAGTTCGAGGCCAGATTGTTCTATCTAGTGAGTTCAAGGGCAGCCTGAACTACACAATGGAAACTCTGTCTCAAAACAATCCATAATGTATATTTATGAAATGTTAACATATGTTTGCCAAGTATTAGTGAAAGCTAATGAATAACTGAAGCCACACATAAAGGAGATATACAACTGTCCCTTTTTGCAGTGCTGGGGAGAAACCCATGGCCTTGTACATGCTACAACTGCTCAGGTGCCTCACTGAGCCATACACCAGCCTATAATTGTCATTTTTAGTCAGATTATTTATCTAGTTTTTGCAACTGTTCTTGGCTATTTTTTGGTCATCTCTCAGTTGTAGATGCTTTTTTTAATAAGTAACCTTTGAATTAAGACAATTTTAATTAAAGCAGCCGTTTTGAATGCATGTGAATAATGTGGTATTTTGTTTTAAAAGGCACCTTTGTAATGTTTTTAAACTTACTGTTATGTTACAGACTGTTGGCAGTACTTACGGTAATTTTTCATTAGCAACCATGTTTCCCAGGAGGGAATTTACCAAAGAAGATTATAAAAAGAAATTACTAGATTTGGAACTTGCTCCAAGTGCTTCAGTGGTGCTGTTACCAGTACGTATATACACATTTTTTCTCTTACACTTCTCTGTTTTATTTTTGGTCACTTCTTATATTAGCAGAAGGGAAAGGCAACTGTCCTTGGGGTAATTAAAATCCAAATTATCCAAAAAATAGATAAATTTGTGTGCAATTATCCTGTGCTTTTTGTATTTTTATTGCACATATTCTTGTGAGGTACCAGTATAATTTTCAGCTTTTTCCTCGCCTATTTTTATTTATAAAAAGTGACTAAAGAAAATAAAAAAACAAAAGCCAAATGTGGTTGTATACTCTGGGAGGCTGAGGCAGGAGGATCACAAGTTCAAGCCCAGCCTAAGGAACTTAGTGGTTTATTGAGATCCTGTCTCAAAATTTAAAAAAAGAAAATAAATATGGAGAAGGCCAAGAATAATGGTGCATCCCTGTAATCTCAGCACTCGGGAGGCTGAAGCAGGAGGATTACTGTGAGTTTGCGGGCAGCCTGGGCTACATAGTGAGGTCAAGGCTAACCTGACCTTGTCTCAAAAAATGAAAAAAACAAACCAAATTTTAAAAATATGGAGTATCTGTCTAATATACAGACTTAATGTCTTTTAAGTAAAACTCTGTTTTTTACCATATCTTTAAAAAACATTAATATAAAAATAACAAAATGTCAAATATATTATCCTGTTTGATCCTTACAACAATATTTTAATCTCTGATGAAAAAAGGATGCTCAGAAAGCTTAAGTGATACCAAAGTCCCAGGTGACATAGCTGGAATGAGATCCTAGGTCTTCTGTGTCCTGATTAGTGTAGTTTCCTTTATTCTAGGACCACACACACACACACACACACACACACCTCCCAACTAAAACAGTCCTTCATGAATCAGAATTTCATTTTTGTTTATTGAGTTTTGAAACATTTTTTGTCCATAAGACAGTTTATTTCACCATTGAGAACTGGTTCTTAATTTGTATAAGTACTCTTAAAAATCAGAGCTCCAAGCTGGGGGTGGTGGCGCACACCTGTAATCTTAGGTAGGAGACTACAGCCTCACTTGGGAGACTGAGGCAGGAGGATTGCCATGAGTTCAAGATCAGCCTAAGCTACATAGTGAGTTCAAGGTCAGCCTGAACTATATAGTGAGACCTTATCTGAAAAAAACACCAAAAAACAGAGCCCAAGAGTTCCCAGAAGTTTATATATACTTGAAAAGAGCAAAAGTGGTAATTTTACTTTCTTGCAGCAAACCAAAATCCATAAGATCTCATTTTCCAAATAAAAGATGCAGCTAGAACCTTCAGTGATGTGATTCTGCTGATACAATCTTTACCTAGGTTTGCTATTTTAAAATTTCTAGGCAGGAAGACCAGCTACATCCATTGTACATTCTTCCAGCGGAGATATTTGGACATTGTTGGGGACAGTACTTTATCCATTTCTTGCCATCTGGAGATTGATTAGCAACTTCTTATTTAGTACTCCTCCTCCTACACAGACTTCAGTGCGAACACCATCACCAGAACCTTCAAACCCTGCATCATCTAGCAAATCAGAAAAAAGGTATATGTCTGTTTTCTCCATTTGTAGAATATAGCTCAGTACCTTTTCAAAACAAAGAATTGTATTAAGGGTACTTTACTTTCTTACTGGTATATTTGTCCGTCCCTGTGCCCCACCTTATGGTGGAGAGAAAAACATGTTCTGGAATTTTATATCATCCTAGAAGTTCACTACCTAAATTTTCTGAGTCAGCTTTCTGAAAATTAATGCATGGAAAACAACTTTTTTAGGTTTTTTCTTTTTTGGTACTGGGATCAAACTTGGGCCCTTGTGCTTGCGAGGCAGGCAGTGGAACCACTAAGCCAAATCCCCGGCCTGGAAAGCAACTTTTAAAAATTATTTCACTCATTGAATTCTCCTTATCCATAACTGTCAAGGCAGATCAGACACCAGCCCCATATGTAATATCTTTCTTGGTAACCATGTTTTGCCTAATAAGGTAATTCATTTCATTGCTCATAGACAGTTTGCATAATTTCTTTAGAGGAATATTGTGCTTTAGATCATTTGGATCCTGGTATGTCTTTGATCTGCTGGCTGACAGTCTTTTAGATTATTCAGAGGTGGATCAAACTGAGGAAATTAGACATTCCCTTAAAACCGAAGGCTCCATCTGAAAATTATGTTTATTTTTTATTTTTTTATTTTTTTCTTGGTATGGGGGATGGAACTCAGGACCTTAAGCCTTCTAGGCAGGCAGAGTGCCATCGGGCGAAATACCCGGCCCTGAAAATTACTTTAATTACTCTAAATCAAGAGGCCTTACTTTTATTGCAGATAGCAAAGGTTTAAATGGTAATACAGACAACATTGGAAATTTAAAGTCAAACTTTTTTTTTTTATTTTTTTTTTTTTTTTTTTTTTTTTTTTTTGATACTGGGGCTTGAACTCAGGACTTTGAGCCTGTGAGGCAGGCGAGCTGCCACTGAGATAAATCTCCAGTCCTTAAGTCATATCTCTTATTGGTAAGATTATACATATTTGAAACAAGTAAACAGGAAGCATTTTTCTGGAAGTTGAGATTATATCCCCTTCTAATAATTAGTACATTATACAGTGGCACCTTGGTTCATGAACTTCATTCTTTCCATGTTTCTGATTACAAACTGAATTGGATAAGAACCAAATCACATTTTCCCATTTTGGTTTGTGACCAGACTTGTGGAAAGAATTAAATTCCAAGTTTCCACTGTATATAGTACTTGCTTTTCAGTCTTGGGCCTTTAATAAGTATTTCTGATTTCAATCCTGTATTATGTATTAAAAATCCTTGCCTCTGTCTGCTGTCAGTATGGAGAGCCGTAGTCTTGCATTCCATTGGTTCTATAGATGAGTTATATAAATGCTATGACTAGACTGATTAACCTTTACTTGACTTATTTCTTGACTACTAGGAAGCAAAACTAGTTACATCTCTCTTACAATATGTAAGTCAAGGACATGGGGGAATTCTGTCTAGTTTTAGAATGGCATTTAGAGTAGGGCTTTTAGTATTGAACTTCAGAACTTTTTTTTTTTTTTTTTTTTTTTTTTTTTTTGCGACAGGGTCTCACTATGTAGTTGAGACTGACCTGGAACTCACTATGTAGCCCAGGCTGGTCTTGAACTCACAGTGCTTCTCCTGCCTCAGCCTCCCGAGTGCTGGGATTACAGGCATGTGTGACCATGCCTGGCTTAGAACTCTTATAGAAGCACTTAATACTGTAATAATTAATGTACGATAACTTGCTGTGTAGTGTTTTAAAACATTCAAATAATGGGAAGGGTCTTGAGACAAAGAATGTGTTGAAGATACATCTAAGGGTGAAGCTTTATTTTGTTGTTTTGCTCTCCCCCCCATAGTTATAAAATTCTTTTAGCTTAAATTTCACCCCAATTTCCTTCCTATTTTCACATGAGGAAATACTTGTTATTCTTAGTTGTAAGTCATTCTAAAAGATTTTGAGAGGATTAAAAATTACTAATTGACCATTTTTGTTTAGGTCATGGTGTAGGCTGCCTGGAGCTTTGCCTCTAGGGTGCTGTGTAGTAAGTATACCAGCTTGTATAAATAAAAGAGAAAAGATTAGTATATGGTCAGGCTCTTCTAATGCTTAATAAATCATCAAGAAATACTGTATTTTGAAACAAAATATGGTTTGGCTGGTTTGGCTTAGAGAACTGATAAAGTTAAACTACCAAAAGACTAATACAATCTAGTACTGCATTAGTAGAAACAATTATTTCCCATGGATTTTCCTTACCTTGGAGTTATTTTAAAAAAGGTAAAATATAGTTGCTTATACTGTAGGAATGAAGGTATGAAGGAAATACCTTTGTATTACTGTTGTTTTGGGGGTTTTTTTGGTACCGGGGATTGAACTCGGGTCCTTGCGCTTGCAAGGCAGGCCACCAAACCACTGAGCTAATAAATCCCTGGCCCTACTGTTGTTTTTTTAATATCCTCTTTCCTCTTCTCCCTCTTTTATATTAGGGAACCAGTCAGAAAAAGAGTGCTGGAGAAACGAGGAGAAGATTTTAAAAAGGAAGGGAAGATATATAGATTGAGGACTCAAGATGATGGTGAAGATGAAAACAATACTTGGAATGGAAATTCTACTCAGCAGATGTAGTACAGCAAGTACAATATGTACAATAATCATTGTTTCTCTTACTCTACTGGAGAAGTGGGTCTGCTTTATGTTTTCCAACTGATCTATAAAGTGTTTATTCTTGCTTAGAGGGTCTGGGTGAAAGTGTTTAACTCAAAAAAGTCAAGAAATAAAATAACTGGCTGCTAGGTCCTTGCATACAGTAACAATTGCTAGATGCCTAAAAGAATCAAAAGGTCTGCCACAGCCTCACTCTGTCAGCTGCTTCTTCAGTATTTTATGTACCCTTTAGTCCCTCTTCAGATGGCATGTTTTGTTTAGAATATTCCTTTCTCCAAGACTCTTAAGCCCACACAAAGTAACTGGTATTTCACTGGGTAATTCAATTCCTAGAGCATTTTAACTAGCCAATCAGATGAAAACTTATGTTTAACTTTTCTTTTTTTGCTCATCAGCTGCAAGCAAAATCTTGTAGGTTTTAATTTTACTTAAATACTGAATAAAAAATCTTTTTCAAAAATCAGAATGATCTTATTTTTGCTCTAAGCATCTTTTTATTGTACATGGCTCTGATGAGATAACACTTATTTGACATGCACACCCCCTCCCAGCATTTTTAAGCTATCTCAATAAAATAGCATACCTTAAATTATCACTTAAGGGGGCTGGGGATTTAGCTCAGTGGTGCCACCGCCTGCCTCACAAGCACAGGGACCTGAGTTTGATCTCCAGTACCTCCCCCCACACCATTGTCATTTAAGGAAAGACATTTTCTGACACTCATTGACCTCACTTAATGTTTATTCTAGGTCAGTGAGACATTGCTTTGTATAACTTTATGATCTTCTCATCTGATACAAAACAGATAAGAATTGCTAGTCTATAACCTAGTATTCCTCTTACCTTTATACTGATGTTTTGTACTTAGTAATCTCACTTCTAGGACCTAAAGTACCTGTGGTATAGGACAAAAGTGGAAAGATTCACCTTTACTGGTCTGATTATTATTAACAGAATCTTAGTCTGACTTAACATACTAAGTCCAATAATTTTGGTAGTAGTGATCACTAAATTTAATGGTGTTTAAAAAGGCTGTGTGATACTTTGTGTTTAGATAGAACAGTACTGCTTTTGAATCAATATGTAGGAAAGCCTTGACTTTATTTTGGAATGAGAGGAAGAAATTCTCAGCAAACTTTGTTTTCCACCAGTGAAATAACAGTGAATTTGTAAGGTGGTAATAGTGTTGGCAAGGATACAGTGAGAGTAGGCTATGCTACTGGTAGGAGTGAATACCAATAGATCTTTAGTATTTTGTACTCTGAGCCAATAATGTTTCCTAAGGAATGATCGTAAAGATACATTGAAACATATAAAGTGTATTTTACTTAAATACTAGAAACCAACTAAATGTGTTCTGTAGAAGCAATTTTTCATGAGAAATGGTACAATACTAATTGAATAATTCAGTTTAACATATGTTTATTGAGCATCCGTTATGTGTTGGAAAGAAGCAGGATACAGAGCTGTAAGTACACTATGATCTCAGCTTTGTAAATACATCTATTGATAGAATTACATATTAATATATGTGTAAAGAAAGAAAACAAAACAATACTGATAAGAGTTGTATGATTCTGGTTTTCCTTTTTGTACCCTTATATTTTTCCAGTCTTCTACAGTAATCCTGTTATTTGCTTAATTTAAAAAGTGAGTTTGAAAAATATATTCTCCAGTAAGCATCCCATTTGAAGTTTTATCATCTTTAAACCTGCAGCAATATGTAATTTTTAAAATAAACCTACCAAATTGGTGTGACCTTACTGTTAGAAATACATTTACAAAAACATTGAGTACCTCAAGTCAGTTTGTCTTAAAGAAAGTCAAATATAAATGTTAGAGAAATATGCATAAAAATACATTATCTTGAATAGGAAGATTTTTCAATTCTATCTTTAAAAAAATATGGTAAGATATCCAAAATAATATGTAAGGATATAAAATGAAAATGAAGTCTCCTTCTGGCATCTTACCCCCAGTATTACTACTCCCCAGATGTATCCTCTATTAACAGTTTCTTATGTAATTTTCAGAAAAATTTTTTGCATATATAAGCAAATATGTAATCTTTATTTTTAAATAAATGGGATCATATTATATATACTACCCTGCACCTTGCTTTTTTACTTATAAAGATCTTTCCCTGTCAGCATATGGCTACTTCACTCTTACTAATGGCTGAATAGCATTCTACTTGATGTAAGTACCCCAACTTAATTGTCTATGCACTGGTGGCATTCAGTGGTTATTAGAAATGTCTTGTTTAGTTTTATTTTTCTGTTTCAAAATTGCTGCAGTTAATATCCTAGAGGAGAAAGGTATAGTCTAATGTGAAAAATGTACCTGTTAATATGATTTTATAGTTCACTAAGTTAAAAGGTTTTTGTGGTGGTTTGGATTGTGAACATTATCAAATTGGCACCTTTTATGTGGATTCAGCTCCCAGCAACAGTTTATGAAAATATTTTCCCTTGCCAACACTGTATTATCATACTTATTCATCCTTGTCAAAATTATAGATGAAAACTTGCATGCAGGTTATATGAACTTTGTGTAGAATGAAACTGATCATCTTTTAAAATTTGTCATTTTTGGATTATTTTGAAACTGCTAATGTTTTTCATATTTTTCTTGATTTATAAGAATTACATGTACATTAAGAAAAATCCTTTTATGTTATAAATTTTATCTTTTGATTAGTATATGGATGATAATCTTTGCCATGGTATTTATATGGTCACATTTATGTCCTGTCCTGTCCCCGTTCCTTCCCTTTCATTGTATTGAGGGTCTTTGCACTGAGCTACATCCTCAAACCTTTTTTTTTTTTGAGACAGGATCTTACTAAATTGGCTAGGCTGGGCTTGATTTTGTGATCCTCCTTCCTCAGGTTCCCAGAGTGCTGGGATTATAGGTGTGTGGCACCTTCCTAGCTCAGTATTTTTTCTTTTATGACCCCTAGGTCTTAAGTCTTGCTGCCTTTGTTTCTTTCCTTTTTTTTTTTTTTTTTTTTTTGAGACAGGGTCTCACTGTGTAGTTGAGACTGACCTGGAAGTCACTATGTAGCCCAGGCTGGTCTCGAACTCACAGCGATCCTCCTGCCTCAGCCTAGCCGAGTGCTGGGATTACAGGCGTGCGCCACCACGCCCGGCTTTTTTTTTTTTAATGTAAAAAATGTTATTGGTATATGTTTGCAGTACATAATAAACATCACAAGAGAATTGGTACATACACATACTACTTTTTTTTTTTTTTTTTTTCCTTTTTGGTTTTTTGAGACAGGGTCTCACTATGTAGTTGAGACTGACCTGAAACTCAGCTGTGTAGCCCAGGCTGGTCTCGAACTTGCAGTGATCCTCCTGAGTGCTGGGATTATAGGCGTGCGCCACAGTGCCTGGCTACGTGTTTTTTTTTTAAATAATAGCCTGTTATACTTTTATTTGGGTTTTTTGTTTTTGTTTTGTACTGAGGATCAAACTTGGGACCTTGCACTTGTGATGCAGGCACTGGCACCACTGAGCTAAATCCCTGGTCCTTGTTTGTTTACTCAGTATGGAGCATTGAACTCAGGACTTTGTACTTGCCAGGCAGGCATGGTGCCACTGAGCTACATCCCCAGCCCTACATCTTGATCATATGTACTTCTCCATTCTCTCCTATCTTCCCTCATCCCAAGAACCCCTTCCATCTCCACAGAGTCTACCCCTGTTTCTTATCTTGTATATATTTTGGGTGCTTCTCATGTAAGAGGAATCATATGCCATTTAACCTGAGTTTGATTTATTGAACATAATGGGCTGAAAGTGCATCCATTTTCCTACAAATGGTCAACTTTATTCGTTATGGGTAAGTACTCCATTGTATATATATAAAGCACTTTGTAAAATCAGTTCATCTGTTGATGGACATATAGGCCACTTTCAAGATTTAGCTACCAGTATTATGAGTTGTACTGCTATGAGTATGCATATATAACTGTAGATGTCTTTAACTCTTTTAAGAAAATCAAAAGAGGAATAGTGTGTGAAATGAAATTTCTATTTTGATTTTCCTGAGGAGTCTCCATACTAATAGCCATAGTGGTTGTACTAGTTTACATTCCTACTACAATAGAGAAGTGTTCCTCTTCCCACAACCTTGCCAATAATTGTTACTCGATTCTTGATAATAGCCAGTTTCTGGAGTAAAATAGAATCTCATGGTATGATTTGCATTTCTCTGTGGCCAGAGTCGCTGAACAGTTTTTCATGTACCTACAGCCTATTTGTTCTGCTATACTTCTTTTGAAAAGTATCTGTTCATTTCAGTTGCCCAGTTTTTGATTGATTGGGTCTTTTTGGGAGGGGGGAGTACAATTTTTTGGTGTGTTCTTTATATATTCTAGATATTAGTCCTTTATCCAAGGATTAGCTGGCAAAATTTTTTCCCATTCTGTAGGTTTTCACTCTGTTGTTTCCTGTGCTTTACAAATCCCCCCAGCTCCCCATACTGGGGATTGAACTCAGGACCTTGTGCTTGCAAGGCAGGTGTCAAGCCACAAAGCTAAATCCCTGGCCTCTGTACAGAAGCTTTTTAAATTTGCTATAATCGCATTTGTTGATTGTTGGTGTTATTGTGCGGTTGGGGTTCTGTTTAGAAAGTCTTTGCCTGTGTAAGACTTCAAGAATTAGCACCTGTTTTACCTCCCAGCTGTTTTCAGTGTTTGTTTTTGTCTAGGTCTTGGATCCATTCTGATTTGATTTTAGTTCAGGGTGTTAGATATGGGTCAAAGTTCATTCTTCTGCATGTGGTTAACCAGTTTTTCCAGCACCATTTATTAAAGAGGCTGTTAGCTCAATGACACCATGCTTGCCTGGCAAGCACAAGGTCCTGAGTTCAGTTCCTGGTACCAAAAAGAATACAGAATTCTTCTCAATCCTGCCTGAGCCTCCTGAGTACTGGGATTATAGGCATGTACCACTACGCCTGGCCAACTTTCTATTTTAATATTTTTTTCCTGTATAGATTTATCCTAGCTCTTACAAGTTTAATGTGTGAAATTTTTATCTTGTTTGTGCCCCCCCAGTTCCTTTTTTGAGCTTAAGTGTAATGGATAGATTATGATCCTTAATCTTTTTGCCAAGAAATGTCTAATACCGCTTTTAAAACCACTCCATCTGCGTTTTTCTAAGAGAAAAATACACCACCCTGACTTCCAGGTTGGGACTCATGGCAGTGAACATTTTGGTAGGAATTTTGTATAGACAATTCATGTAAGGAATGCGTGCAGGATAAGCATATCACTCTTAAACCTAGCCAAAAGTCAGTGTGTATGTATGACACTAGGGTTTAGATTTGGGATTTTGTATATGCTACAAGTACTGTACCTTTGAGCTACAGACTGAGGCAGGAGGATTGCCAAGTTTGAGCTCAATGTAGGTAACCCAACAGCAACTTAGTGAGACTCCATGTGAAAGTATAAAATGAAAAGGGCTGGGGATGTAGCTCAGTGTGAGGGCCCTGGGTTCAATCCCTTAGTAACATTAAAAAAAAAGCTGGTAGCAGAGAAATACAATTTCAGTATAATGCAGTCAAGCTGTAAAGAAGGGACATTTATAATCAAAGTAGGGGGAAGATCTGCCTGGGCAATTCAGAGAAGCCATCCAGGGGAAGAAGTTCATTATTTGAGCAAATGCTTGAAGGCATTTTCAGAAGACAAGACATCATAGGCAGTAGAGATAGTATTTGCAGAGATAGGAACATCTATGAGATATTCAAGGACCTACAGGGAATTCAGAGCTGTGACAAATTGTGCAGGAAGGAGAACAGGCTAAACGAACAAAGGCCAGTTAACCTGGGCCTTGACAGCCTTGCTTGGGGCCTTAGAAATGGTCTGATGGAGGGGAGGGGCCAGGGATTTAGCTCAGCTGTGTCTGCCTCACACAAGGTCCGGAGTAGGAGCCCAAATGATTTGAATGGTCTCATAACTTGTTGAACTCACTTTCTCAAGGAAGTAGGAGATAGCACTATGCATTGTGTCCTATTTTTATTTTCTGAGTAACACAAAAGTATGAGACTAGGAGAGTGTGAAGACAGGACAAGAGATGGCACTGCAGTTCACCTACATAGTGGAGCTGATTTCTTATAAAAGATTTTTAGTTTTTAGTTGTAGTTTCATCTTTAAAAAAAAAACAAAAACTCTGAAACTTACAAAAGACAAGTTCAGTATCTATATATTCCCAAAAATCCACCTGCAGGCTCCTCTAATGGCCAAATGAACTCCCAGTAGTGCATCAGGGTGCGTATTTTAATCAGGAACTCATCTCTAACAGTGAGAAGCCTCAGTGAAGCCATCTAGTATAGGCAGAATATAAAATCCTAAGTAGGCTTCCTTCACAGCACTTGAGGGGAGTTTTTTAGAATGAAGACATACGACTTAATTCCTGTTGGCTTGGTTGTGTTTTGTCTTTCTTGGAGAGCTTGCAGTACTTGTATGATAGAAATGCCAAGCCACAGACTCCAAGAAGCGTGAGAGAAGAGTACGTACAAAGCTGTCTGTGCTTCTGATGCCGAGCATTAACCCTAGGAACAGCACCTCCTCTCACCGGGCTGGTGGTGGGTTCAGCATCTAGGAGAGGACAACAAAGGGTGGTTTGCATTCCAGTGCTGATCTGCACAGGAGTCAAATCTCTGTCACCCTACATAGCCCCAAGCTGGCATCGTGCAGTCAAGAGATGGTACCCAAACCTGCATAGCCAGAGCCATCTTTGCTGTTGTGAATGTGGCTGATCCACTTAAGACCCTCTGAATAAATACTTTGATATTTTCAGTCTCTGTGGCAATTAGAATGGTTAAATGTCTAATATTTCATGGTTTGTACTTTTTCAGTCACTCAGCAAGCACTTGGTGCTGTTTGAAGCACTGCTTTCATATTTCTCTTGGTTCTCTTAACTGCCCAGATGCACTTGTCTAGTTTCTTGCCTGAAGTAGCACACAGCAAGCTGTGGTATGGTTGGAAGAAGAATCTAGACTTCATTACTACATTAGGGTTTCAGTGGCCCTAAAGGTCCTTTTCTGTTTTTTGTTTTGTTTTTTTGGTACCAGGGATCGAACTCTGGACCTTGTGCTTATGAGGCCGGTGGTGGAACTACTGAGCTAAATCCCTGACCCTCCTGTTTTGTTTTTAAGTGGTACTGGGGACTGAACCTAGGGCCTTCGTACTGAGTTACATCTCCAGAGTCTGTTTTCATTTTTTTATTTTCAAATGGTCTTGTAGGATCTTACTAAGTCACTATGTTGCCCAGGCTGGGCTTGAACTTGTGATGCTCCGGCCTCTGCCTACCAGAGTGCTGGGATTACAAGTGTACATCACCCTGCCTGGCCCTATGTGTCTTTTTTTCATCCCAAGATTGTCTGGAACATTCAAAATCTTGGTCAGTTGAAGTGGATGGAGGGACAGAAAGGTAATAAACTAGACAGACTGAAAAAGACCCTGTCTCTCTCTTTTCCTTCAGCCTTTGGCTTTGGTCCCTCCCAGAGTTCCTTACCTTCCAGCTGCTGGAGACAAGGGTGAGACCATGATGCAGGGTTGGGGAAACCATTGCACCGGACTATGGAGGTGTAGAACTTGGCTGACTCTTTAGGGGTTCTTGGCAGAGAAGGGTCAGTGTGGTTCACATAGTGCAGAACAAATCTCTGTGAAGCCGGTGGCCCACTCAAAGTTATCCATCACAGTCCACACCGTGTATCCATGAAGGTCCACCTTATCCTGCACAGCTACCACATGCCAGAGTGTGAACCCGCCTCAGGACACGTTGCTGCCAGGTCTCTTGCAGCCAAGTTGCCACAGTTCTTCCTGTTCTCCCAACTTGCACAGTAAGGTGAGTGTGGGCTGCCTTCCTTTTGCATGGCTGTTGGCAGGCTCTATAGAAGAGCTGTAGTGCGTCCAGCATCTTTCTAGACAAGCTCAGCCCTGAGTGGGAGTTGGTGAACATGGGCTGCCTGAGCTAACCCCTGCATCAGTGTGTTGGTCTGGGTCAGAACCTTAGAGCAGCAACACTCCTCCCTGTAGAAAATCAGTAACTGAACCCTCACCATTTCCTTAGCTGGACTGACTCTCTCAGTATCACTTTCTGGCCTCTCTCACAGTTCCATCCAAAGTTATTAGGATGTCCAGTTTTTGCCTAAGGGACAGAACTTAAAGACAACTACTCCCTCCAGCTGGCCCTGCCTCGGAATGCCCTGCTCTTCAGACACCAGGGAGGCATGGGGGGTGGGGTGGGGAGCAGACAGTGGAGCAGCTGGGTTTGCTTTGTGATAAGGATCTAGGAAGGGTCCTGTCCTATAGGGCAGTGCTCCCCTCCTACAGGCACTGGCAGTGTTTCCAGCGGTGAAGGGGCCTGTGGAGAAGGGTGGCCTCTCTTACCTTTGAGGGCCTCGTTGATCTAACTGCAGAGATAATAAATCCTTGCAGTGTCATTCAGGTCTACCTCTCCCCTCTGAGACACTCCATTCTCTGTTACATAAATTGGAGGATTGTTGTACTCCTCCTTCAACCAGATCAGGATTCTCCTGAAGCCAAAAGGTGTCATCTTCAGCCAGAAGGAGCCGGAGTCTGGCCAAGAACGATCTGTAATGGCCATAACTCCCCTATGAATTAAAAGACTGAAGATTAGGTCTTGTTTTGTAAATCTCACAAGGCTCTTTACAGAAAACAAAGCAGGTGTCTCTAGCTATTGGACTGACTGGTGATCGTGAATTGTCCAGAGGAACAGAGCACAGGATGGACTGTTAGTTGGTTTTTTAAGTGTATATAAATATTTCAACAGATCATAAAGAAAAAATTCTATCTCTTTGGTCCTTGCAAGAGAAGAAAGATGAATGTTTTTCATCAAGAGCTTGGATATCCATATTTGTCATGACTGGAAAGAGACTTCTTGTGCTGAAATCTTGTCATCAGGGTGTTTTATCTTCAACAGCCAAAAAAAGAAAGCAACAGTTCTTGACTAGCTGGTGGGTGGAGTTTTGGGGGGAGGTGCATGGGTGGCCGTGTCTGGCCTGAGTATCTATAATGTGGATCCTGTAGTTGTTTGGTCCCTTGAAGGCCTCCTCCCTGCCTCCCTTGGTCCAGCAACTGAGGCCCTACTCTAGAACTGTGTATTATCAAATTTGCCATCATAAAGGAGTCTTCCTGAAAAATACTAACACCCACACACACATATAAAGGAATCTTCCTGCTGGAAAAAAAAAAAAGCAGGTTTATAGTAGGGAAACACTTAGGTTTCATCTAGACTTAAATTCAGAACAATCAGATGACCTTAAAAGCTCTTCACACATTCTGCTTGCCCCCTCAGGGCTGATGTGACTGGGAAAGCCACTTCAGCTGTCCATGTTGGAGCCTTTCACCTGTGTGGAGGAACGGCCTTCCTCATGAACCCTTACTCTCCATGGGCTCCTGCTTAGAGGTCAGCAGCTCTTCATTCCCTCAGTTCGTCTTCCCAAGGACTGAGTGGTTTCTCTTACTCAGCTGAACTGAATGTAGGCCATTTTATAAGCTGTAGATGTTGCTGGGAAGACAGTCCCAGCACTAGAGACACCAAGAGAGTCAGAATGAAAGGGGCACTTCAAAGTCTTCACAGCACTCTGCAAGCCCAACTTGGGTGATTTAACCAAGCAGAGAGGGCACAGAGGGATGAGGACTTGTTTTTAAAAAACCTGGACAGATCCAGAGCTAGTGGTAAAGATTATCGAAAGGGAACAAAATATACACATTTAAATCGTGCTTATTATAAAAAATAATACATTTATGTTTAAGATATTAAACTATCAGAGATGTAGATAGATGACCACCACATGTAATGCCAGGAATTTGTTTTCTTTGTTGTTGTTTTGTTTTTGGTACCAGGGATCGAACTCGGGACCTTGTGCTTATGAGGCAGGCAGAACCACTGAGCTAAATCCTCGGGCCCAGAAATTTGTTTTATAATATTTTCTCCATTGAACAAGTGTCCCCCACCCCCATGGGGGACTGAACTTGGGACCTTGCGCTTGCCAGGCAGGCATGGTGCCACTGAGCTACATTCCCGGCCCACTGAACGTGTCTAATACACGTTATTTGTCTAATACAGAAATAATAACTTGACCTTTACCTTGGAAAGGGGGGAAAAACTTGTTTTGACTCAGTCCAAGAAGTAAAGCAAATCTGGCAGGAAAAATAAATAAAATAACTTGAAAGTTTTTCAAAGAATTTAGCAGTTCATTTTGTGGGAAGTACCTGGGAAAGTCTCCCATTTGCTGGAGATGGCAGCTGGGGTCTCAGGAACTGGTGAACACCCTGTAAACCTGATGTGTGCAGTCAGCAGGCCCTCCAAGAGCTGGGCTTTCTGTTTTAAGGATTGCTGCAGCACCCAGTTGGCTGACTTAAAGACTTACCTGTCTGCATCGAAGGAAGAGATGACAGAGTAGTTAAGGTTGTAGGCCAGGACAGTGGTATAGTGATTGAACCCAAAATAGTCGTAGGTGCCATTGATCCTCCTCACTCTCTGTGAACTCTGGGAGCCTGGGTGGAAGGAGCCAGCCAGTAAGGGTGAGGGGCCTCAGGGAGGATTATGCTTTAAGGTGAGGATGCCCTGGGGGCAAGGGCAAAAAGCACACTGAACTCTGTCTAGGTCCTTGGTCAAGACTTAGCCTCTGGCTGGCTGGGTAAAGAGGCCTTTCGGGGATGCAGGGAGCCCCTGGGTCTCTTCTTGCCCTCCACACCCTCTCTTTCTGGCCCTAAAGACCTCCTCTTGTTGGCAAAATGCAACTATACTTGACCTTTTATACCCACCCCCCAAAACCCTGTGCAGGACCAGCCCCACACAAACTTTATATTTTCTTCAACCATTAACAGATTCTGCTATTTACCATTCATGGTAGATTTCAGAATCCAGAGTGTGTCTGAGATACATACCTTGAGATGACTTAGGTTTTAGAATTTGTATTTCCCTATTCTGCCCTTCATAAGTTTGTTTTTGTTGTGTTGGTTGTTCAGATGTCCTCTTTCCAAAGTTTATCCTTATTAATAGGGGAAATTTTTAGCAAGTTGAGTATTTGGTATTTAGACTTCCAGTCATGATTTCACTGAAATTTGTAGGTGGACATTTGCCATATATTCTGAGGAGACTTTTCCATAAAACTTGACTAATGTGCACTTGTGTGCAGCAAGCAAAGCTCCCTTTCTGCCAAATCCCAGCTGCACACACTGCTGACGGTGTGGCCTGGTGCTTCTGGCTTGTGTGTTGCCTCATAAGGCTCTGCCTAGACCTCTGGCAGGGGTCTTCCTCTACATCTTTCTCCTACCATTAACCTACAGGATTCAAATCATCCCTCCCTGGGGTTTCTGAAATGCTGGTGATTAATGCCCAGCCTCACCCTCACTCCCTCTACTCAAGGTCCAGCAGTGGCTCCCAGGGTCTGGGAGTCAAGACTGCTACGTGATGCAGTATACGGAGGGCAGTAAAAATAGTTACTAAAAAGTTTATTCTGTACAGGGTATGCTGTCAAGGGGCTGGCAGGGAAGTTTCACTGTTTGGAAGAGAGACTGCTGTTTTCATAAATGTTTGAGGATGTGGAAAGAGGTGAGGCAGCCAATGTGATTAAAGAATGTCCTTCTCCTGGATCCTTTAGCACCTTGTCAGTGTCAGAGTGTGGATGTAGGAACACTTGTGTTTACAACTGCAATATGACTAGACCTTTTCCTTTAGCTTACAGAGGCCTAGCTTTAAATAAGGATTCCATACATACTACCTTTTAGGGAAGATGGGTCAGGACTCGTTGGGAGGAAGGAACAGGCCTTACATCAAAAGGTTTTTATTAATATTATCTATGCTTGCCTACCTAAAGACAGGAGGCTTTATCTAGAGTTTGTCTGTTAAGGGTGTTAATCCTTTTGTCGTCAGTGGGCAGACACTATTAAGACCCTTTGCCTGTGTCTCACACCCTCCACCATGTTTCCCAGCCCACGCCCCTTATTCTTATCTCTGGGCCTAGACTCATTCTCCCAGCCCTTGGAATGATCTCTGCTCTCCCAAGTGCTAGTCATTTTCAAGGCCTAGCTCAACTGATGTTCTGCCTTGTCCGTGAAGTGACCCCCGCCCCAAGTTTTCTTCATATTGAAGAAATTGGCAAACAGTATTCCAGGACAGACTTCCCAGCCAGTCTGTCAGCAATTGAAGGGAGTCAGACTTGAAATCCTCTCCTTATATGGATTGCACTGGGCTCTGGCTCATATACTTAGTAGATAGGTGCTCAAGTAGGTGTGTAGGTTGGCCAGAGTTCTCAGAGGTGGCACATCAGACCTCTAGGTGCCGCCTGCTGAGCAAGACTTAAACAGGTTAAGAGTATAAGCTGGGGACTGCATTTTTAAATCTTAACACCTGGGCTTTATGAGGGAGATTTAAGGAAAAGACTCAAAAGCTATGCTAGGAACATCTGCTGAATCCCTTTTACCCTCTTCTGCTTGTTGTCCCATAAAGCCAGTAAACATCACTTTGTGCCTTTCTACATATCTTACCTCTAATGCAAGCAGGATGATTCTTATACCCAGAGTGTGGACCCTGGAGGCAGACAGCTTGGCTTCAGATCTAACCAGGTGATCTTGACCTAGTCTTTGTGCCTCTGTTTACTCATCTCAAAATAGAAATAAAATACCATTGGAAGCTGCCCTTGACATTGCTAATACTTTTTGTTTTGTTTTTTTGTGATTGACCTGCAACTGTGTAGCCCAGGGTGGTCTCGAACTCACAGCGATTGTCCTGCCTCAGCCTCCCAAGTGCTGGGATTACAGGCATGCGCCACCACACCTGGCTCGCTATTACTACTTTGACCAGAAGAGAAATGAGCCAGCAATTAGGGATAATTTGGTGTAAACCATCACTACCTACTGGCCAAATAACAAAATGCACATCTGGCAGTTACCCACTAATGAAGCAAAGAAATACGTAGGATAAGTTGGGGAATTTATCGTCATACCTTGGTACTCAGCTGCTCTGAAATGTGTCAGATTTGGCATCCTATGCATTCTGTCACAAAATTCTGTCCCAGTTCTCATTTATTTGGTTCTCATGATGCCAACAAGAACTTGTGTCAATTGCCTCATGACTGCCCTTTCCGTGCAAAACAATTTGTACTCATCTTTTTTAGTATACTTGTAGCACCTCTCAGAAGCAATTAACAAGTACCGAGTTACCACTGTAGGAAGACTGCTAAGAGGATCTTGCCCTTGGGACAGATCCCTGGTTGTTGTGAAGTATAATAATCAGAGCAACTTTGTTTTGCCAAGCCCATGGCAGGGCCAGGCGCTGGGCTGAACCTTTCATATACCGTCAATGTAATCTTCCCAACCAAGAGGCTCAGAGGCCTGGCTGCTTGTCTGAGACCTGCTTCTCTGCTCCCAGCCCCCGTGTGCTGCCACTGTGGACGCACGATCTTACCGAGACTCGTTGAGGCCTGCCGCCAAGCTCCTGTCACGGATCCGTGTCTTCATCACATCAGGGTAATCTCCATTCTTGAAAATAGGATGTGCAAACCATCCTCCCATGAACTGCAGGGAGTGGAGGAGTCAGCCTTGGCCTCACAGGTAGGCACACCAAGAGTCTGAAACAGCCTTGCCCAGCAGTCACATCCCCTCCCTGACATCTCCGCTGTCCCGGGTAGCAGCCAAAGTGCCCACAGGCCTTTCCATCTGTGTCTCAGTGTGCTTCACTGTACCAAGGCCCTCCAGGCAGGCCCTTTCTCGGTAACCCTTGATGTGAGAGGAACTGAACGACCACTGGCCCTGGCACTCCTCTTTCTGGCTGCCTTTAGGAGGGCTGGACAGAAGGAGAAGGGGACAGTGGAGACCTATAGGCCCTGTTCGCTCTCACCAAGAGCAGCTGAACTTATGTCCTGGTCCTTTCTCATCAAAGTACCTGAGGATCAACGAGAACATTAGGGAAGGCCTGAGTTGCATGGTTTTCCTGACTACCAGGTTGTTTTATAAGTATTAGGCTCAAAGCCCTAAAGTTGAAACGAACTATTTAACTTCTGTTTGGTTGGTTTTTGGTGCTGCGGATTGGTGAAATGGCATGTACCCTACGCACTGAGCTATACCCCAGGAAACCTGTTTTCTTTCATGAGGTCTAGGACATCCTATTGTTAGGATACAGGCACCCAAATATATAATGCTGGAGGGCCTGAGAGACCATTTTAGTCTTCAAATCCTTCCCTCACCTGCTGGCTGATGCTTGAAAAGTTTGGGGTGAAGACAGCCTTCCACTCGGTCAGATGAGGCTTGACACATGCACCCACCCTGGTTAAACTTTTAAAAAATTTGTACAAGTTCATAGTACATAATGATTATAATTCATAGTAGGGAGCTGGCACATGCATGTAACACCTTAATTCTTTTTATTTCTCCTGTTCCCTGCATTTCTTGGTTCCCTTCCCTTTTGCAACTTAAATGCACTTTAAGGTAATAAACCAGATCTTGTGAAAATTGAAATAGATGGGTCTGGGCCGGGGATTTAGCTCAGTGGTGCCATCGCCTGCCTCGCAAGCGCAAGGACCCAAGTTTGATCCCCAGTACCAAAAAAAGAAAGAAATAGATGGGTCTGTCATAGTCCTGGACTACAGTATCACTGCCCACCCCCATCCCCAGTAAATGGCTTAATCTAGTGATATTACTTAATATTTCCCAAATTTGGGGGGTTTGACTTCAGGGGAAAATTACTGTTCTAATTCAACAATTTTGTGAATCTGAGATGAAGAATGCACTTGTTAATTTGACCACCTTTGTCAAGCTCTCTTGCGAAGAGTTTGGCAAACCAAGGCCTGTGGTGTCCTCTAAGAGAGTCAAAGTGCTACAGTCTGAAGACTCCTCTCCCCAAAATGGGGGAGTCTGGAGAATAGAGACCTTTCCTTTTTTTTCTTAATGCCAAAACATGGAAGAGTGTGTCTTCTAACCCGAGAAGCACTAGCAGGATCTAGAGAAAAGGCTGTACTGTGAATGAGGGTAATCCTCTCCCTCTGTCTTGTCAGGTTTTCAGACTGAAATACAACTGGGCCGTATCAACACCTGCTTAATGACCAGTATGTCTATTCCTAGGGATAAAATTCTGCAGCCAAAAGATGTTCTTGTCCTATTTCAAACTGATGGAAGTAGCAAATTAGATGCAATACCAAGTTTAGAGTCTGGATTACCCAACTTAAATTCTTAGGCTGGAGCAAACAAGATGGCAACACATAGAGATGAAGTGTGCAACGCAGCTCCATGAGCTGGGAGTCAGAGCAGAAAGATTGAAGAGAGGGGATTTCTTTTTGTAGTTAGTTTCAAAGCTATGTTACATCCAGTAAGGACTACATCTGCAAATATTTTTTCAGGACTTAAAAGAAAACCCAACCCTTAAAAATTCACCACTTTAATTACTGTAAACCTGTGAAGTGGGTAGGACATCTCCAGTTCACAAAAGAAATGACTAAGGAACAAAAAGCTATGTGGTTCCATGCTCATGAAATCAGCTAATAGTGAAGCTGAGCCTACATCCCAAATCTTTGATTCTCATCCTAATTCTGTTTGCATTAGACCATGTCAGGAGTAAAAAAAATAAATAAGAGAAAAACATACCTGAACATATCTCCTAGCTGCCTCCACATCGTCCTGGTTTGAGAGATCCCTGGGCTCAGCCCAGTCATTGCTGATGGTGATGGAAATCATGCCGCCTTGACTGGCACGGTACACATTATTGTACAGATGCCAGGCCTCAACATGAGCCTTTATTAGGTTGTGGCCAGCAGTGTACAGAGCAGCACCAGGCCTAGAGGAGATTCCTGCCAACAGAATGAATGTGACCAAGAGTATTAGTTCCCTGCATATAGATATCCCCTCTAGGTGAAAGAGTTTGGTATCTGGAAAATGAATTTAAACCTTCACCTACTACTTACTAGATGGCTCTATCACTTTCATCGAGTAGTGCAGCCTTCCAGTTTCTTCTATTTTTTTTTTCTTGTTAGAATGGACTGCAGAGTGTGCTTGTGAGAATAAAATTAAAGGAGGGAGATAAAGGGAAATAAAAAGAAAATGTTATGACATGTAGCGACTCCCCATGGTGAGTGTAATTACGTTCTGAAAACATGCTAATAAAACATTTTTTAAAAGAAGAAAACGGGCCGGGGATTTAGCTCAGTGGTTCTGGTGTCTCCCTTACAAGTGCAAACACCCGCGTTCAATCCCCAGTACAAAAAAAAAAAAAACTGGGAGAGAGGAGAAAGGACTTGCAAAACGTGGCCTTCTGTCCCCTCCTCCAAAAGAATGCTTGTAGGTCTCAGGCAAAATATCTACGATATGTGTGCCTCAGGGGTTGGAGACCATTACTAGGGGAAGCAGCATCTGAGGTGGAGACTACCGGAGAGCAAATACTGGGAAAGGTTGCTCAAACCAGTGCCAGCCAAGGCTTAGCGAGACGCATCTCATGATGGCTGGAGGTCCAACCCTCCATCTCTCTGTGGCTCTTTCCAGCATTTTTTTTTTTTTTTTTTTTTTTTTTTTTTTTGCAGTGGTACTGGGGATCCAACTCAGGACTTTGTGCTTGCCAGGCAAGCACAGTGCCATTGAGCTAAATCCCCAGCCCCACTCTTTTCAGCTTTTATACAAGATCCCAAGGAATAATCATACAAATGAACACAAATTTACCTCATATGCTTAGCAACAGAGGAAGGGGAAGCTGGATATCCTTTAAGGGCCAAAGAGAGTCCACAGTCCCTTAGTCAAAGCCCTGATTGGAGGGCTGGGGATTTAGCTCAGTGGTTCTGCTGCCTGCCTTGCAAGCGCAAGGTCCTGCGTTCAATCCCTGGTACCAAAAAAAAAAAAAAAAAAAAAGTTAAAAAATCCTGATCGGAAATAAACATTTTTGTATTTTAGAAAATAACAAATTATACATATATGGCCCCAGCAGGGCCCAGGACAGCTCTCCATAGTGAAGTACATGCAGCAGAACTTAGAATGCTCACACCAAGTGGGTTGAGTCAGGTTTCACTGTTACTAAGTGGGCTCAGGTCATGCAAATCAGTTATTGGAACTGTAGAATATTGGAAGTATGAAAACAGATTGTGGACCCAAATAGGCCAACAAATTGTTCTTTCCTACATCAGTTTGTCTACATCCCAGTTCTTACAGAGCTTCCCACCTGAGGCAAATCAGTCACGGAGCAAAGAAATGAAGTCATCCTCAGGTACTAAGATGTGAAATCTGTGTTTAGCACATGTGTCAGAGGGGAGATCCTTGCAGACTTGAGCAGGAGGTGGGGTTTCTGAGGTGCTGCCATTGGGCTTTCCTGGCTGCCTCCTCCTGTGCACCTGGATTTCATGTCTTCAGGGTGCTGAGAATGCCGTGTTCTAAAGAGCAAGACAAGTCTGGCCCTGAGACCTTACCTGGAGCTGCCATCCCAGTGCCATAACCATGGAAAGCAACGACAAAGGCCTCATTCAGTGTGATCCAGAACTTCACTTGTCCCCCAGCCTCTGGAAGAGCACGTCTGTATACTCTTTAAACCTCTGCACAATGGTCTCATTCTCCCAGCCTCCGACTTCCTGGAGTGCCTAAGGTAGGTCCCAGTGGTACAGGGTCACCTGTAAGAGATTCAGATCAGCAGTTCCATCAGTTGCGCTTTTCCATAGGAAGCCACTGATGCGAGATACACTGACATGTCAGTGTCTGCCGGTGGCCAAGCCTGAGAGAGTGGACTACATTGGCCAGGGCCACCCTCACCTGGGGCTTGATGTTGGCAGCCAGCAATGCATCGATGAGCTGCACATAATAGTTCGGGCCCAGTTCATTGATGTACTCGTTGGTTCCATCAGGGAAAATGCGAGTCCAGGAGATGGAAAAGCGATAGTGGGATACGCACAGGTTCTGCAGGGCATCCCCATCCTCAGCAATCTTGTGATAACTGTCGCAGGCCACATCTCCAGTGTCGTCATTTTCAATCCTTATTGGTGTGAGACAATACGTATCCCAGATACAAAGTCCTTTTCCATCTGCTCTCCATGCACCCTCGATCTCAAGAGGACAAAGCATGATCTCATGAAGTCAGTCAGACAAATTCCTTTCTGTCAGGGCACATCCCAACTCAGGATTTTGCTTAGCAGCATCTCCACCTGGAGTCTTCTCTGGCCCCTGCAGTCTCTGAACTCCCACATTTTGTGTAGTTTGTGTACCACCACACTGCATTATACTAATGACTGGCTTCCCACAAACCTTACGGACTAGGCAAGGTGTATTTCACTTTGCTCACAGTGCCTGGTATATGGTAAGTGTTCACTAAAGATCTGAAAATTTTCACACCTGCTGCCATCCCTAGCCACAGCCAAATTGTAAAGATGGCTAGGTGTGGAGTCAAAATTTCTAGTTAAAACGTATGTCACTGTTTCTTTTCATCCCTCCTTTCCTCCTGCCTATTCTTTGAATAAATGATCACAAGCCACTGGAAAAATACTTATAATTTCTGTAATTTAGAACACTTCAATAGAATGAGTGGGAGGAAAGGGGATGGATGAAAAAAGAAGCTGTGTTATGTACACGTACCAACTCCCCTCCATGAATATAATCATTACTGCAAACATGTACTAGTAAAAAATTCTTTTAATGGAGTGACATGAGATTGGACACATCCGAGTTACTGCCAGCATTCTAATCAAGAATGCATGTCGGGGGCTGGGGATTTAGCTCAGTGGTTCCACTTTCTGCCTCTGAAGCACAAGGTCCAGAGTTCGATCCCCAGTACCCCCCCCAAAAAAATGCGTGTGGGGATTTAGCTCAGTAGTGCCACCACCTGCCTTGCAAGTGGAAGGTCCTGAGTTTGATCCCCGATGCAAAAACAAAACAAAATGCATGTCCAGTAAGGACATGCATATGGATGTTGGGAAATAGGAAGAAAGTGTTCAAATGGGAAAGGAGAACAAGGGAGGAGGGAGAAAGGAAGAGACAGGAAAATAAAAGTGAAAATAGAAGGAAAACTGGAAACAAAACAGAGGGGAATGGAATAAAACTGATAAAAAATAAACAGATTAAATAAATAACATATCCAGGCTCGGTGAGAGGGATAGGGCCCAGGAGCACCCACCATGTGAGCCGTGTGTGGAGAGAGATCATTGGGGAAGTTAGGAGTGAACAAAGAGACTATATTGAGGATATGAGAAGCTAGGTTTCTCACTACTGCAAAAAGGAGATACAAATAGGACAAATGAGAAGGCCAGCATCAATCCTGTGGAGTTGGACTGTTATTGGAGGTGTGACAAAGGGATGGATGGATGACGTAAAAATGTGTGTGAATGTGTGCATACATTTCTTTCCTAGGTCTGTCCACCCAGAGGGCCTAGAAGTACAGTAGTAACACTCCGGAAGTGGAGTACACCCATGTCCTGATCACGGTTTCTAAGTGCCATTTGACGCTAAAGAAAGCCAGGGCTCGTTAGAGAAATCACTGCTTAAACGCTGGAGCACCCATCCTCTCAAGGGCTCAGCCAGCATTCTATTCCGGGAACCCACACTGTAAGCACTTCTCATCCTGGTCTTGTTATTTTTGAGACAGTCTCGCTGTGCAGCCCAGGCTGGCCTTGAACTTCCAATCCTCCTGTCTTGGCATCCCCAGTGCAGGCATGCACCCAACACTGGTCTCTTTTTTTTTTTCCTTTTCTTTATGGTACTAGGGATCTGTTGTCTGTTGTGGTTTGGGTCTAGATGTGCCTCCAAAGCCCCATGTGGTCATAGGTGGCTTTTGCAGAGGTGGCTGAATCTAGAGTGTGTGATGCTGGGATTACGGTCATGTGACTACTAAACCAGTACACTGATCGGTTTGGCACCACACTTGTCCTGGTAGTCCGGATAAAAGGACAGACAGACACTGTTAAGGTTCCCTTGTTGCTTTGCTACGGTGTGGGCGCCATGAACTGTTTTTCCCCTCTACAACTCCCTTCTGCCATGTACCACTCTGCCTTGGAGCCAGCCTGTTATGGACTGAAACCTCTACAAACTGTGAGCTAAATATACCCTTTTCCCTTTAACTTTGGGTGTTGAGTGTTTTATCTCAGCAAGGATAGAAATGTAACTAAGACAGGATCCAACTCAGGGGTGCTCTACCAGTGAGCTTCACCCCCAGCTCTTTATTTTTGACATAGGGTCTCAAAAATTCAAGATGTGAGTTGGCTAAAACATTTTCAAGACCCTGTTTGCTCTCACATGGCCAGGATTTTATGAATTCAGCAGGGCCTGTGGCCTATACCCTAGAAGAAACCTCTCATCCTTTGTATGGTCAATTGTAAACCTGTGGAGTGATGGTTCCCACACAGGAAGCATTCTTCCCCAAGGGGACAGCTGGCAATGTCTAAAGACACTTCTGGTTATCCCCACAGGAGGAGTAATCTACAAACCGGCCTCTGGTGGGAAGAAGTCACAGATGCCAATAAACATCTGAAATACCAATCAGGCCCCAACTGAGAAATCCTGCTACAGAGGATTCAATTTACCTGATATGTAACAGGATCCAGCCTTTGAAATGTTGGCATCTACCTCGTTTGGTGTTGGCCAGAGCAGCTAGAAGGATCAAGATCTGGGATTTTCCTGGCCAGGACACAAACAGTTTTTCTGGTTGCTTGCTAATTAACTTTTTTTTTCAGTATTAAGGACTGAACCCAGAGTCTTTGCCCTGAACTACATTCCTAGTTCTTCTATTTTTTACTTTGAGAGCCTTGCTAAGTCAGTATATTGTCCAGGCTGGGTTTGAACCTATAATCCTTTTGCCTCAGCCTCCTGTAGTGCTAGGATTACCCGTGTGTCCCACCACATCTGGGTGACTCTTAGTTACTAAATACCTGTAAACTGCCTTCTTGGAAGGGCTAGGGGAGGAGTGAATGCATCCAGCAGACACTGTACATTTGCGTGTCTCTGCCCGGCCTGTTTCTGCTCCATCTGGCCCTGTGGACACCTAACTGCTGTTCTGCCGGATGTGAGGTGTGAAGCAGGAACGTCCAGGAAGAGGCTCCCCTGAATCCATCACACACGTACTGGCTCCCTGTGGCCTGCTGGAATCCCTGCTCATGTACCTGTGCTCTCCGGCACCGAGCCCAAAATCCGGCGCACAGTAGACAGGCAGGCAGGCAGGCGGGCATGCAGTAAGTGCTGTTGAATGGCCCTGAACTTCTCACCTGATATGCAGCAGAAACTGCACTCCAGATGAAGCCCTTGGGAAACTCCCCATACAGGAACTCATCTTCCTTGGGCATCAGCATGGCATTGTTGGTAATGACCTCGGTGTAGTAGCTGGCCGAAGCTCTCGCTGTACGAGTCCTGTCCACATCCTCAAAGTCAACGTGGTACAGACCAAACTTGACAGTATAACCATGGAGCCACGCAAAGTTGTCCATCAGAGACCAGGCGGGATACCCTGGAAGGTTACGCCATCAAGCCTGTAAGCTAGGAGCAACCCGAGAGAGCAGAGGAGAGAGCTTTACACCAGGAGGGAAGAGCTGCAGGAGGCCCAGCAGAGTGCTGGCTGCTGGAAAGTAACATGTGCTGAGAGAGAGATCACCGCGTTGGTGTTACTTCTGCCGGCTCTGATGACCCTAGAGAAAGTATTAGTAACTCCTCTGCAAAATCAAATTCTTTTTATTAAGGGAAAGGCTATGTCTCAAGTTCAAGAGCTTGAACTTGAACTACTATAGAAGTTAAGCATAAGAGTGCGAATTAAAGAGTTTCTTATTCTGGGATGCATGGGATCCCAAGAATATAAGTTCTATGAGGGCAGAAATGTATACTTCATTCCCTTCAGCATTCTCAGGATCTAAAATAGAATGTGTCCTAGTAATTGCTCAGTAATGAACAATGACCCATGGAAGTATTTTGGGGGGATTCATACATTTTAAGAAAACAGTTTTTTTTCAGTTTCTATGGATACTGTAAACTCCCAAATAGGTAAGGAATTATGGAGTTAGGGCATAAAAGAGACGTAGGCACCCTAAAAAACAATTTCAGGCACATGATATATGGGGTATTGAGATTCTGTAAGATGAACTGGTCCCTCACATACCTTTCAAAGCGTCACTGATGTAGGTTCTGTAGTAAAATACCCTGTCGGTGTCCTGCACAGCTGCACTTAGCCCCACTCTCAGTGATGTAGATGGGACGTCACCATACTCCTCCTTGATCCATTCAGCAGTCTGCGTATCCCCCAGGGTGCAGCTGTTTATCGCTGTGACAAGCCACCAAGGGTCCTCTTCCTCAATGGTCTCCTGGTCACACTGGTAGGAAGGTGGCTTCACTGGGGTGTTGTGTGCTTCACAAGTCTAGACGAGTAGGTGTTGAGGCAGAAGACGTCAGCTGAACCTCTCATGTACCTCTTCTTCTCCTCAGTGAAACCCGGCAGGCGGCAGGTGGCCAAGTGCTGTAGCTCACTCCTGTTCCCCACTTTCCACTCCATGACATCAGGATAGTCTCCATTTCTGAAAATGGGGTGGGCAAACCAGCCCAAGCTGAATTGCAGCATTCGGTCAGCTGCTTCTATATCTGTGGGGACCCCTGGAGACTTGGGCTGTGCCCAGTGTGTGTTGAGGCTCAATGAGATGACTCCCTGCTGCTGCTGCCTGTACTCCTCATCATAAGTGTGGTACACTCTGGCATGGGCTTTGATGATTGCATGACCGATCCTGTAAGGGCCCCAGCCTGGGTCCTTCACATTTGGGGGGAAATTCCCCACGCCCTACCCAAACCAGGCCTGCACTAAGGGCTCATTAAAAGTCATCCAGAACTTGACTGTCACCAAAGGTCTGGAAACAGAAGTCGGCGTAGCTGTCAAACGACTCCATCAAGGAGGGGTTTTCCCAGCCTCCAATATCCTGAAGGGCCTGGGGCAAGTCCCAGTGAAGCACTGTCACCGTGGGCAAGATGTTGCTCGCCACCAAGCCGTTGATCAGTCTGTGGTAACATTCAACACCAGCTCTGTTGATACAATTGTCCCGTCAGGGAAAATCCGAGACCAGGATATAGAGAAGCGATAGGACTTCACCTTCAGAGCTGGAAGTGTATCAAGATCAGCATCCAGGTTGTTATAGCTGTCACAGGCTGTCTCCAGTGGCGTTGTCTTTCACTGCACTCCCTGGTGTGTGTGTGAACTTATCCCAAATGCTGGGGCCTTTGCCATCAGCATCCCAAGCCCCTTCTATTTGATAGGCCGACGACGCCCCACAGAAAGTCACCCCGGAATGTGCCATGGTAGAAAAAGTCTCTGTCAAACTTGGATTGTTTGGAGAACTTTTCCCAAACTAGCCTTGGAGGGCAGCTCAGATGGAAAATTGAAGGTTCTGGTTTTGGAGGGGAAGTCTGCTATATGTGATGGTGGCGGTCTTTTTACTACCTTAGTGAGAAAACCATTCTTTTCAATGATGCTGGTGAAAAAGCAGGTAAATTTCCCGGGAGTCCTTGGCTTGCTGCCATCATTGAAGTTGACGTGGTGAAGCCCAAATCTCTGGCTGTAACCAGAAGGGCCTTCGAAGCCATCAGTGAGAGACCGAGCATATAAGAGCAAACATCCACAACGTCCTCCTTCACAGCTGTGAGAGGAAACAAAAACTGAGGTCTTTTGTTTTGGGTTTTTTTTTTTCCAGTACTGGAGATTGAACGCAGGGCCTTGTATGGAGCAATGTCCCCGGCATTTTTTTTTTTTTTTTTTTTTTTTTTTTTTTTCCTTCTGGTTAGCGCAGCGTTGTTCTTGGCTGGT